ATACGATCACCTTTGAATTCTGGTGCACAAATCGATTCGCTAAACATTTTGATAAGTCAGTTTCTTTTGGGATTTTTTGGATTAGATCTAGTAGCAGCGAAATCAAAAAATATGCCAAACTCTTGTATTTAATGAAAATATTGAGGTATCGGCTCATAATGCACTTCTGTCAATAAGCATTGGTCAAAGTGGATTAATCAAACCCTTATAGAATAACTAATTGTTAACAACAACACATAAGACAACTATTATCCGATTCATTTAGACTGTTCATATTTCATCAAAAATCCCACTCTTCTTAAGTGTAAACATTGATAGCTGAAAGGTACTGTGCAGGATTTGTTTGGATAACACTCTATGATTGTAAGAAGTAACTAAGCAGAAAACAGGGATATATATATAGACCTTAGCGGTATTATCAATAACACCACCTTTCAGGTTCTTGTAGATGAAACACCAAAGTAACCAGTAGCGATTTCCATAGCTCATGCAACAGTAGTGGTTAGCAATACATCTCCTAATAATAATTTTTAGTCAGAATACGGTCTCTGACACTATGTAATTAAACAACAATACAATTCCAAAAGTTCTGTGAAAGGGGAGTATCAAATATATCTATCCCTATTAATTACTAACAACCCAACAGGGAAATATAAACTTCCATGGATTCTTCCAAATAAGGATTCAGTAAAGCTATAAGTGCTAATTGTTTCTTTCGAACTACAATTGGCGTATTTCGTTTGCCACTACCACTGATAATGCTACTAAACCAATATATATGTGTCATTACCAAGGTTTGATTTGATAATTTCGAATAAATTGAGCATTGGGTAGATTGTTATAAATAAATAATATATTTGTTTAAGGCACTATACTGTATACAACTCATTGAATGGCTACGTATTTAACAAATCCTACAGATACTGATTGTCAAGACTGTAAAGTCAAACTGCCAAATAATATGCCCGATTACAAAATGTTTTGTCTGGTATAATAGTAAGATTGCATGTTATATAAGAATTTTCCATTTTATCTTTTCTGTTAAACATATGTATACACGTGTTAATATTAACACACATAATTCACATAAGAAACACAAATAAGGTTAGGTGTACAACCATCACAGAAACTATCCGATAGAATGAAGAACACATAATAGTATTGTCTTTCTGTTATCCGGTAGGAATTAAGTAGTAAATCACAAGTGTTTCCAACGTGAGACATTACAGGAGAGAAGGGAAATACACAAACATACAAGTGATGAGAGCATCAGAACATGAAATATACACAGATAATAGTACACAGTAAGCATTGTCAATAAATTGGAAAATCCATAATTGACAGAGTGTGAAGTTTAAAAGATGGCGGATATCAATATTCAATAATACCAGAATACACACTCAGTTAATTATTCTATCCCGACAGAAGCTGCTACCTTGACGCGGTGGTCAGGCTTGCCTATCGTGATGACCCAACCAAGCTATATTGGCTGGAACATATGCTCCTGTAGGTTCTACCATGCCAGGCAGGTCGATTGGAGAACGATAAGACTAAAAGCAGCAACTCAAGGTCTGAGGGCGAAGTCATACTGCTAACTGTAGAGAGGTGTGACAGCAGTAAGGTGTTTCCCTCGGACAACCAGCATCTACACCTATGCTGCCTTCTAACAAGGAAAGAAAGGGGTTAGAAAAGGTCGACCCTAAAAATGTCACACCTCACCTTACCTCACGGATTTCCGTCTCCGGCGGTAAGGCCCTTTGAAGAACGGAGCTAACACATTAAAAACCTCCCATGAAAAAGCCGTGCGCAACCGACCTCAAGCAGTTGTCCCTTGGGCTCTGCGGTCACGCTCCCAGGTCCCTAAAGCCGACATTAATCCGAATTCCTTTTCAGGTTCCTCAAGAAATACCCTTCCACGGTGTGGGCAACTGGGAAGTGATATCAGCCCTCATACCCGTAACAGCACATGAGACCAAGTTGGTCACATTCAAATCCTTCCTACTCCTCTTAATACCACTTTTATCTCCATGACTAACCCTTCCTACGTCTCTTTATCACCTCGCACCGCTAGGGCAAACGATTCGAGTACGCGGAACGTTATTCCTAGTCTCCTGAAACCACGCTCTAAATTACACGAAGGAGCTGTTAACGTCCGAACACTGTGCCAAATACGACAGCAGGCTTCCTTAGCTAAGACTTTAGAATCCCGCGCAATCGATGTGTGCTGTCTCCGAAACGCGCATACAGGATCCGAGCAGCGTCATTCATTTGACCTCACCATGCCAAAATAAAGAACCGGGTCGATTCACACTTCGTGTAACTGGAAGCCCTGATTCTGCTTCCCGTGGCCTCGCCGGCGTAGGTATAGCATTGAGTCCTAAGGCAGAACTAGCTCTCTTAGAGTGGATCCCAGTAGACAGTCGTTTGTGCGCTGTCCGACTAAACGGAACAGTAATGATCCGAAAAGATTGGGACACTCGTCGTTGCCTCTTCGTCGTCTCTGCCTATTCTTCATCAGTTGAGATGGCTGGGACACGTGTTGCGTATGCCCAACGACCGACTGCCTCGACGTGCGATGTTCAGTGGTATAGGAGTAGGTTAGACGAAAGCTGGGGGCGGCCAAACCAAAACATGGTACAAGTCCGTGAAGTCACTGACAAGTGGACTGAGTCATGTCGGTAGGTGTAGACTACCTGGTTGGGATCCGCGAGATGATAGCAACCGATGGTTAGAGACCTTGAATGACATGGCTCAAAATCGTTTGCAATGGCGCAGGTGCATCCACTCTTTGTGTTCTCCCAAATTCTGATCTTCTTAATCCTCCTTGTCTCTTTTTTTTTTTCTCTTCCCAAATTTATTTCACTGGATTATACTCTTTAAATAACATCTCCAAACACTAATTTTCCCGATTACTGCTTATACTCTTACTACCTCTAGCAATACGGGATTTGAATCGACCGCTGCATCTCTGTGCTAATGTGGTGTGGCAACTCGAACTGATGTACGTACGTACGAAGTTCTACGTTGTTATTGACTGACTGACTGACTGACTGAATTATTCTATATTATGAATTTTCGTTAGTTTTCTCTATAACGTAGAATAATTGTTTTGCAGATTTTTTTTAGCCATATTAAATATATATACCCACATTATATTTTTTAGATGCATGGACATACAAATTTTGAATAATACCGTCTCCTATTAAAATTTCGGTTTTATAGGACTAAGCTAAGGTAAAATACGATGACTATTCAAAACACTATAAAACTAGAACTATAAGCTACGTTTTATTCAACGCCTTATTCTCCCGAAACAAATTTGTTACTTTTATTGAAATCATGAATCTGTCGATCCTAGACCAACAATTAAACTCGGATGCACTGAACGGTCGTTTCGTCCTCTCAGTAGTGCGCATCCACGATCCCGCACGCCGTATTCAAAGCCAGGACTATCGGTTTCGCGCACTAACGCTTAACCTCTAGACCACTGAGCCAGCATCCAACGATGTTGATTTCTAAATTCAACCAATCAACGATGTCACGCGACTATCTTCCATTGTCTTCGATAAGTAACTGCACACTTCTCAGGAGTCCCATACTAGGATGAAACGGCTGTCCAGTATTTGCAGGTTTCAATGGTGATTTAACATTGATCGGTTCATGATTTCAATGAAATTCAACAATCTCCACAACCTCAAACTGAAAATTACTGTTTTTAGAAAGTACCAAAGGCTAACTGAAGCTAATTAGAATGTTGAACATAAACAATATGTTAGATGGCTAAAGTAGGTACATAATTACATATTTTTAAAATAAGTAGACATAATTGTACCATAACACTTACACTCAACAGCTAATTTTCCTAGAAAGCTACTTCCAGTGTGATAGGTGAACGTCGGGAATATTTTGGTGGCCACATCATTAAACCGGCGAGTGAAGTAAAGGACCTAGGATTAATTTTGAATCATACATTTTTCACATGGTGACTACGTATTACATATAATAAGGCTTAAAGACTTCCGCCACTGCACATCTACACTACTGTTTTAGTTGCTGTTTTAAAAAGTAATCACTCTATTATATTCATGTAGTTAACCAATAACCCTGTGCATCCCCAAAACATATTATTTTTAATAGTCAGGAAATTAAAAAAGTAGAAGTGGTTTGAAAATACGACTTAAGTATTTGTACTGCAAATAAACGAAACCGAAACATGGATTTTACACTAGTAAACGAATAATAATAACAAAATGGAAATAAACTGGAAGCTTGAAGATAAAATCTCACATAAAAGCTCTCAATTTCCATACAGAATGTCACGGATCTTTTTGATTTTTTGTGTATGACCATTGATCTGTTTCACCCTCGAAATAATGAAAACACATTCTTACAACTTTCTGGACTGAACATTTACCAGAAACAAATTTATGTACTCAATATTGCGTCACACTGTTTATATGGGGGTTAGTGATACTACTCAGGTGTTTTAACTGAATTACATAAGGTACAGTTCACACCTACAAACTAGTAGTTGAAATTCGAAGGTTCGAATCGCATTTCTGTGACAGAAATAAGTTAAATCCTATTTTCCCCTATAAAACAGAAGATACTTTGCGCCAGACTATAAAATTATAAATCTCTCTGATATATACTGATTCGATGAACGAATATATACCAAAAACTGATAGAAAGTCGATTAAATATATTAAGAGAACTTAAGACACTCTGTAGGGAGTTGATGATAAAACTACCTTTACCCTAGGGTTACAGTAGGATTATATTTTTAGGTCTACATACAGTAAAAATTATAAGTATAATAAAGTATCTGAAGCATGAAACTGAAGAAAGAAAATGGAACGTTACATAATCAACGGAACATTAAGAAATAAGAGGAAAATAGGAGCGGCTTGGCATCATTGTTTAGAATCAGAAACTTAATAATAATATCACCAAAAAATATAATAAACCTAAACTTCTACGAAAAACACTCAGTAACTTACCTTTCACTGACAAAGCAAATAGAAACAGAATGCTACAGACAATTTTCTAAAATACAAAACAGAACAAAAATATTTCGTGAATAACCAATATTCAATTATATTTGGTCAACTAGGTGAAATGATACATCAAATAACTAATAAGTTTTGAAAATAATACATCTGAAACGACTTAGTTCATGAATGAATCTAATTAATTGATCAGTTAGGTTTTCAATACTGACAACCCGTAAAATAAGTATTTGAGATCAGTATTGCAGGTTTATCTATTTATGGATATTCCGTATATATTTGGGTTTGTTTTATGTATTAAGAAAAGTTTGTATATAACTAGATATGACTATGCGGTTCCCAAACTACTTATCGAACGAAACTCCAGATGAAAGATGAAGTCCCAAGAAAAGGCAACTGATAATCACCAGCTGGATAGAAATAACGGCAGTAAAAATCATAGTTACACGCTACTTGTTGTTATTACCTCCGATGATAACTGTCGACCACCTTTATTAAACTGAGTGAATATGGATGGAAGGGACTTAGGAGAGTGATGTTTGTGTTTAAGTACTTTGCTTACAGTTAGACACGAAAACGAAAACGAACAAACATATTTCAATATTACTTTTAAACCATGAAAAATGATCTTTGGGAAGAGTCAGTATGTATCCCATTGTTTAGCAAGCTGATATCATGTTGGTTGAGCCTTCCTACCACAGTGAATCAGCAGATTTATACTAACTAGAAAACATGTTCTTTAATACTTTATCATGGTAAGAAATCCAGTTTAAAACGTAAGATCAAAAGCACATTACATTACAGTTTGGATGAAATATGACTTATTTACGAGGTACAGGTTTATATCCTCAGTTTCGAGACACTTTACTTGTGTGATGGCTGGTGTAACCATTTGACAACCAAACAGAGTGAGGCAGGGTCAAAGTTTATGACAAATAGGTTGAAAGCCAAGGGCCGTAGCCATTAAGTCACTTCTTCACCCGTGACGGGTTTGATGGCAATCGTAATTATGGTTAAATACTAGGCACAGCAATAACAGAAACCTTCCCTGTGGGAAACGATAGAGAAAGCTGGTTGAAGGCCTATGCTCCTCTACGAAGAATAACAGGTGTAAGCAAGTAAGTCTCTGTGGGAAGACGAAGTTATGACATATCAGTCACTAAGAATGTTTTTGGTTCTAGGACTCTGTTCTGCCAATGTCAGGATGGAACTTTCCAGTAGCCAGTACGCTAGAACAGAACCATCCACAACTAGTCTGAAAAGATTTGAATAAAATCAAATAAGAGAACCAGATTATCGTTCTCCAGTGGTTACTGAATGGCAACTGTGAACGAATAAACTTAACTACTAGTTTTTAAAGCCCTACGACAGATATTATTTGTCGTTTGGATGAAGCTTCAATACAACAAACTCTAAAAATACGTAAAGGTTTTGGATACTACAAGAATGTATCCATCAGAATTTTGTGATCTCTTGGATTCAGAGATTACAGCTTTAGCTTTAATCAATGTTCTTCAGTTAAGGGCAGCAGTCGACGGCTCCCAAATACCCTAGTACAGCCGAGAGTGGGGAGAGTCCTCTCTCCCTCTCGAAATGCCCTCACATGGCCACACTATACAGCCACTACCAGGGAAGTCCTACTCACTGCCTTCTCGCGGCATTACTGTTGTTTACCAAATTGAAAGAACAAGAAACGAATGTCCAGCGCTTAAACCCGGTTGGTAGGTATGAAGGATCCACCTAGAGGAGTTGGAAAACCATGATTCCAAACCAGTGGTGAACATGGGATCCAGTATCCTGAAGGAACAAATGGCGTATGAACCAATTGTCGGTCACCGGTTACCATGGGACTGCATCTTCTGACGTTGCTCCATTGCTTTGTGGATTAGACCTTTATGTCAAAGGCTCCGGAGGTGGCCCACAAGGAAACCACCTGCTTCGATCTGAGCACCCGGGCACTATCATAGCCCACGCACAAATAAATTGAAATGACAATAACTATTGGAAATGCTGTTTTTAATTCAATTAAAATTCAGATAACTGAAATCCGTTTGATAAATTTTATTGTTCTTATATATACGTCACTTTTCTACTCTTTTATTTCCACCTTGTGTATCCTTATCTTTCAACTTATACAGCAGCTCGCCTATGGTGGAAATCTAGTTCTATCTAAACGATCTCGAGTCACCGACTGGTCGAAAGTTGAATGCTACCACTGAATACGAATACTGAGACATTCTTTCTGAAACCACGTATACCATTTAAACTGGCTTCCTTTAACGTTCGCACGCCCCCAAATGCCCTGGTATGGCCGAGAGTGGGGTGGGCTCCGCCCTCCCTCTCAAAATGTTCTCACACGGCCACGCGTATACAACGTCTTCCAGGGAAGTCCTACTCATTGCCTTCTCGTGGCGGGGGTGTTGTTTGCGAAAATGAGAGGACGAAAAGCGAATGTCCGGCGCTTTAACCGGATTCCAAACAAATGGTGCACATGGGCTCCAGTATCCTGAGGGAACAAATGGCGTATGAACCAATCGTTGGTCAACGGCTACCATGGGACCGCATCTCCTCACAATGCTCCACTGCCTTGTGGGTCAGACCTTTAGGTCAAAGGCTCTAGGTGTGGACCCCTAGGAAACCCACCTGCTTCGGTCTGGGCACCCGAGCAGTATCCCAGCCCTCACACAAATCGAAAGATTTATGTGGCGCATATCTATTTGGTGCCTCCTTGTACCAATGTTTATATGTTTAAATAAATAATAAAGAAATAACGTTCGCACACTAATGTAAATCGGACAACAGATAGGGTTGGCTATGTGGAGGCCTTCTGGTTAAGGAAATGACTATTTTGTTGACAAAGGTTTGAGAGATAGAGAATGTTACGACATCATGGAATGAGTCGATAATCGTCCCTATCTTTAGAAAGGGTTCACGTTGTTCCTGTAACAACTATCGATGGATAAGTCTATTTCCGATTGCGTCCAAACTATTAGCTTCCGTTATACTTCGTAAATTTTTCAAAACGCGAGAAAGATTGACTCGCTAGCAGTTGGCTGGTTTTGTTCTGGTCGAGGATGTATTGGTCATATCTTCACCCTCAGCCAAATGTTAGGACACCGTCATACTTATCACCGGCCAAAAATCGTAGTGTTTCTTGGCACTGAGACCGCCTTCGATTCGTTGGGCAGGACTGTTCTCTGAGATTGTCTATTGAAGAAGGGTGTGCCTGAGACGTTTATTAACATCGTAGAAGCCCTATATACAAAGACTTCAAGCAGATTGAGGGCATACAACCACCTCTGTCTATTGTTCTATTCAAGTAGTGGAGATTAGACAGGGTTGCCCAATCTCACCATCCTTCTTCAACTTTGCTGTCGATGACGTTCTGGAAACAACTCTGATGGATGTAAGTAATGGATGTGTGAAACTGTTGCTGGAGAGAGAATTCACGACCTTGAGTATGCGGATGATATTGTCTTACTATGCAATGACACCCAAGCCATGCAACACGCACTTGATCAGGTGGCAATTAGTGTCCGTCGGTACGGTATGTGCTTTGCACCTTCGAAGTGAAAAGTACTTTTACAAGACTGGAAGGACCTGATCCTGCACTCACCTCGGGTAGTGAGCAGATAGTAGTCGAGGAGTTCGTTTATCTGGGTAATTGCGTAAGTACTGGTGGTAGCGTGGGTGATGAAATCAATTCACGTATGGTGAAAGCCAGAGAGGCTTAGGCCAATCTGGGCCATCTTTGGCGCCTTCACGATGTTAGTCTGGTTGTAAAAGGTTGGCGAGAGCAGTTTTTTATGCGGATCTTAGACGACTTTCTGTGTTAGATCATCGTTGTCTCGAAAGGATTGCTGATATCTAGTAGCAACATCATGTTAGTAATGCAAAGGTTCGGCATCGCCTGTTCGGGCACAGAGACAATAATGCAATTGGTGTCACTATCTTGAAACATCGACTTCGATGGCTTGGACATGTTTTACGAATGTCGTCCCAGAAAATTCCATGTCGTGCATTATTTGGTGATTGGTTGGAAAAATCGGAGAGGTGGTCAGTGCATGACATGGTGTCGTGGCATGAAAGAAAGATGTACATGACTGACTTTTGTTGGTCCTTCACGACTCTCTGGTTTGGGTCCTAATGATGGTACAACACAACGGCTAGAGACGTTATCAGATATGGCTCAGAACAGAAGTCAGTGGAGATCCTGTTGTACATTTATTTTACTTTCTTCATGAAAAATGTACGTAACTTCTTTAACTAGGATTCTTTCTGGTTGTACCTTTGCTAATTGAACTGCTTCACCCATTATTATTATTTCACTATCATACGCTAATTTCTGTTCGTTGTTGTCCCACTTTTCACTATAAACACCTTACATTTTTTTGTCTCTTTACATTCTCATCGTTATTGTGACACACATGTATTTGGTGCCCCTTTGTACTAATATTTATGTGTTCAAATAAATAAATAAATAAATAATAACAGTTGACTCTCAACCAATAGGTTTTGTGTTAGTGTCTGAAATGGGTATCTAGCAAATATATCATAAAACCAAAATATTATTGCTCGGACATCCGTAGTTGTATTTAAATGTACAAAACATTATCTACTTAAGCGACTATGTTGAAAAATATCCCTCACTTCCTATTCCGAAACTACATGTAGTCGTCTAAGAACATGGTAAGGTATCAATAAGTCACAAACAATGCTAACTTGAAGCACTTTTTGTCTTTGACACACACAGGAAATTTCCTTATTATGTTGTTACTAGCGCACTTTAGAAACCCAAGTGAGAAAAATATAAACCTGTTAGTCTCACCAACCAATACTGAGAGTCCAAAAAAACATTCAGCGTTTCAGGAATTGACTTCCTTCCTGAAAGCTTTCTCATCGACCTACAGTACACAAATGTTTGCAAAAGCTGGAAAATTTCCATTTTTTATTGCCTCAAGCAAAAATGCAAGCATGTCTGAAATTGGGTTTGTTTCAAAATACAAATTGCTGCTTCATGACTAGTTTGCGTCAACATCCAAACTAATCATATGGCACGAATTCGAGCAAGTCAATTCCTTTACAAATCTCAAAGGTCACATCAATCATGATAGTTCAGTAGCTGACAAACTACTGGCACAAAATTAGAAAGTTTGTTTGGCTTTTATTAACTTGCATCATCTATGGCGTAGAAATATCCGTCTGACAACTAGGGCACGAACAAACCGTCCAGCCGTTTGTTCAGTTTAACTTTATTGAAATGAAAATAGGACTTTAGAAACGGAGAATATTTGCAGGTTACTAATATTTAATCGTGGGTGGCGCATGAGGGATGTAAAACTTACAGGATACAAGCATTATTAAGTGTATTATCATAGCATGACGACACAAACAATGTGCTTTCGATAGCATATTAACTGTAATAGCATATATGAACGCAGTGTGATAACCTACTTGAATGTCCTTAGATCGAAGTTTGACTACTTTAAATTTAATAAAGGTATTATGAAAATTTTACTTCCGAAATCAAATTGTGCGATGCCAACATTAAGAAAATGAAAACACACAGATTTTTCGACACTAATCCATGTGCTTGAATTTTAGTCTCTGTAAACACTACATAACCAAGTACGAAAGTTAACTGTAAATATATATCCAGAACATTCTAGACTAAACAAAATAAACAAATACCTTGAAATAGGATCAGTCATTACAAAGGGTGTGCGATCTGATCACTTACTTTATAAACACGAATATGTATAAGGAAGAACGAACTTACCATCATGGAGCTTAATTTGATAATTCCGCTTGACCTTAACACAAAGATCTTTTGTACAAACCGGCTTTCTTTTAAAGGCCGTCAAGGACATTGTACAGTGTTGGTGTGACAACTTATTAGGCAACCATCCTTTGACAAGATAGAATTCAAACCCAGACTGAAATATAAGGAGTTCGAATTCCATAAATAATACAGCATCGAACTTAATATGTAATTCTTTGGAGTTATTAAAGGACGAACTGAGTTGATTGTAGAAGAGGGCTTCATAAAAGTTTCCTAAGTACCATTGAACAAACAGCGGTGATACTGAGTCAATTTTTACAGAGCGAAAGTCACTACTGTCAAAATAGGTATATTCAGTTGTATTTTCTGTAAGAATTTAACGTCTCATAACATTTGTTTTCAACTTGGTTTCGTTTGTACTTCTTCAGATTGGTACCATGCGTTCAAAAAACTGTTGAGAGCGTGGTTATCAAAATTCGCTCATGGTGAGTATGCAGTCATAAGTGTGGCGTTGTCACCTTCAAATAATCTGAGGGCTGATTCACATGTATAAGTCCAAGCCTATGAAACTCACATAGGCAGATAAAATCGTGATACACAACAAGGATGTTGTATGCTAAGAGCTGAAAAAGACGGGCAACAACTACCGTGTTACATGTGCTTTAACAAGTATGAGATATGCCTGTTTGTGGCGGTAAACGTCGCCCCAAAATGAATGGTTCTGTAAGTCTTCGACGTTGATCGTTACCTTCTTAATTTAACTGAACACATCCTAGCTGAGTGTGTTCGGTCACACGTTCGTATGTAAAGGTTTTTACATCTTCTAAATCAATTGTGGCTTGATTGGTACATTTTTTATTGTGTCGGAGAATTTCGCTTTTCCCTTTGTGTATGTTGAGACCTACTGCTGCTGAGGCTGCTGCTATACTGGTCGTCTCTTCCTGCATTTGTTGCTGCGTGTGCGATAGGAGGGCCAGATCATCTGCGAAGTCTAGATCGTCCAACTGTATCCTAGCTGTTCGCTGTATCCCATGCTTTCCCTCAGATGTTGACATCTTCATGATCCAGTCGACCACCAGGAAAAAGAGAAAGGGTGAGAGTACGCGATCTTGCTCGACACCGGTCTTTTCATCGGACGAGTCTGTCATCTGCCTACCATGCACGATTTCGCGGTTTAATCCATCATAGGAATTCTGTATGATATTGGCTATCTTCTGAGGCACTTCGTAGTGTCGAAGAAGCCTCTATAGTGGTGTCCTGTCCACACTACCAAGTGCTTTTCCGTAGTCAACGAAGTTGATGTGGAGTGATGAATTCCATTCAATTGGTTGTTACTCAATGATCCGTAGTTTGTATAAGCAAACATTGATAGTGGTTAGCAGCGGAATCTAGGAAGCACGTTGCGTCATATTTGGGACTAGTCAGCTGGATGTACCTGCATCCCAGAGTTGATGTTCACTCTGGAACTCGAACCCAGGACAGTTCGCTTCAGACGCCATTGCGTTATCCACTCAGCTACTGAGTCCTGATTGCTACCTGCATGTGCAGCTGATTAGTCCCAAATAGGACGAAATACGCGACCTGTATTCCACTGCTTGCAACTATCCATCTTTGCTTATAAAAGCTTGTGAATTAAGGCGATATCGAGGCATATGCACAGTATGCACATATGCCAATTACAGACTGATCAATTGCAATCTTAAACCTCAACGGGAAGGTACAAGCAAGGCAATACCAAGTGAATGATCTGTAGTGTTCCGATCTATCCTTACGGAATCCAGCCTGTTAATTTCGGAGTTGAGCGTCTACGGTATCCTTCATACTATTTAACAATATCCTGTGTGACAACTTTCCGTGATATAGAGAGAAAAGTAATGCTCTTGTAGTTATCGCACTTGCCGAGATCGTCTTTCTTTGGCATTTCGAACAGAAGTCCTTTTTTCAGTCTGTTGGTACTTGTACTCCATCTCAAATTTTGCTACGGAAAATGAGGAGTATCCTTGCAGTTGCTGCTATATCTGCTTTCAGTGGCTCTTCTGTTATGTTGTCTGGTCCTGCTGCTTTTCCGCTCCTGATTTGTCTGATGGTCATGCTAATCTCTTCAACTGTTGATGGGCCTGTAGAATTATGGCCCATTACGATATTAGTACTGCTCTAACAATAGACCTAATCCTAAAGTGGTAGATTTGTCGTGATATAACTATCTAATCTGTAAGATTAGATACACTGACTCACCGTACCGTAACAATCATCAATGCATGATGGAGAACAAGCTCAAGCTAGAGACAGAATGATATATTTAATATGAATCGAGATATAAGGTAACATTCAACAGGGACCACTGCTATAAGGCCGAGCCATACCAGCCAATCAAGTAGAATTAATTCGATTCATTGTTTCCGCCTTCCCTCATCGTTGGATTTTTCTCCGCGTTAAATATTGAATATCGATTTTCCCAAATTGTCTCATGTTAGGGACGAATGCGCCTACACTACTCTCGCACCTGGATTGTGTGGTTATGGCCCAATGCCACTACAGGCCAACATCGATTGGGGGGTCCGTGGATGCTGCTCCGATATTGGATGGGTTCAATGGGGCTGGTCGATTCAAGAGTTCTTTGAAGTGTTCTACACACCTGTTTCGTTGTTCTTCAATGTCGGTGATTACCTTGCCTTCTTTGCTTTCCACTGGTCATTCTGGTTCACGGTGATTTCCAGAGAGTCTCTTTGTCGTGTCATACAGTTGTCTCATGTTTCCTTCTCTTGCATCCTTTTCACCGTCATTGCTAAATCTTTCACATATTTAAGTCTGTTAGTTCTGACGCTCCTATCCACTTCCGTGTTTACTTATGTGTATTCAGCTTCTGCCTTGGCTTTTTCTGCTCTTGTTCGGCTAGTATTGATTGCTGCTTTCTTGTTCCTCCTTTCTTAAATCTTATCCAGTGTATCAACAGTGATCCATTCCTTGTGATGGTGCTTCTTGTGACTCAGGACCTCATGGCATGTTGAAGTGATTGCCTCTTTTATCCCCTTCCAGTTGCTCTCCATAGTAGTTCCCCCTCCAGTGAGTGAATCGTAAAAGGCATGGAACCTATTACTGAGGACTATCTTGAATTTTTTGAGCTTGTCAGTATCCCGAAGAAAAGCCGTAGTAAACTTTTGTGATGTTGTCCGCCTCGTTGTTCGGTGGTTCTTGAGTTTCACTTTCATCTTGGCGACCAGCAAGTAATGATCTGATGCTATATCAGCTCCTCTCTTGGTTCTCACGTCTTCCATCGTCCTCCTGAACTTTTTGTTGATGTAGATATGGTCGATTTGGTTTTGCGTAATGTGATCCAGTGAAGTCCATGTGGTTTTGTGAGTGCGCTTACGTGGGAATATATTACCGCCTATGACCAGTTTATTGAAGGCACATAGGTTTGCAAATCTCTCACCATTTTCGTTCCTTTCTCCCAGTCCGTGTCGTCCCATGACGTCTTCATATCTAGTGTTGTCCATTCCAACCTTGGCATTGAAATCTCCCATCAGAATGGTCAGGTCCTTTGTTGGGCACTTCTCCACGACTGACTGCAGCTTATTGTACAATTGGTCTTTAACATCCTCACTGTAGGCGTTGGTAGGCGCACAGCATTGGATGACGTTCATTGTAGTGTCCTCTTTCTTTGTCTTGAAGGAGGCTTTAATGATCCTTGGTCAATGAGATTCCCATCCTATAAGTGCATTTTGTACTTGTTTTGATAGCATCAATGCACCTCCTTGTGTATGTGAGACATTTTCTTCTTCATGGCCAGAGTATAACAGAAGCTACTCTGAAGCTAGCGGTCGTTGTCCAACATGTGTTCAATGTGTTTCACTGATCCCAAACACTACCACGTTGTATCTCTTCATTTCTGCAGCAATTTGGAAGACTCTCTCGGTCTCCCACATTGTACGAGTATTCTATCTACCTAAATAAATGGTTGCTCAGATTGTCAGAAGGGGCATCAGCCTCGTGACTACCGAAGGAACTTGGCCTTCACCGTGAGGCGTCACGACTCTTCTAAATGAAGACCTTTTAACTCCCAGGGCAGAGCTTAAGTGGTTCGAATATTTTTTTCCTGGTTATCTTTTTTTAGAGAGTTAGTTTTCTAGGGGGTGGGGTCGCTAACTTTGTGCCTAACCCTCCTCTTTTACCAGGGCTCGGGACCGGCAGTAGCTCAAAAGGTTCTCCAGGCGGAGTTAGCGTAAATATAGCATGAGTGTGTCAAGAACTTTATAAATGAAGGTGGTTCTAAAGAAAGTCAACAGTATTGGATTTTGTGTAGTTTCAAGGAGTATACTGATACAGAAATGGCTATCGAACTTTTTGTCAAAGCTATTTCCGCCCGTTTTTTCATTGATTTTATACAGTCATAAGCAGGCTTCATTTTTATCTAATTGTCTAGTTTTGCTTTTAATAGGATTTCTTAGTAGGAAGTGAAATTAATTCAACGTCACCGACACGATTTAAGGAGGAAGCCATAATTTAACAAAATGTTCTACCCTACAGATATAGGTGAATTGAAGTTACCTCCCCACCATCATGTTTGCTGGTCATTAACGCCATCCTCCTTCATTTTGTGGTGTTTGGCCCTCTTATGTTTGTGATGTGAATGAATATTGCTCTAATCTAAGCTCCTTGTTGGAATACACTGTCTCTACTAGTTCCACGTTACAAGAAAATCAGATGGGTAAAGCTTCTGTAATACGGGTTAGACATCCACTTAGGATATAATATATTTCTGCAAGAGCAGGTGCACGCCATTTTTACAGATATGATCTACAAACCACATTTGTTTTTTCACAATATCCGTGGTAAATAAATATAATCGTTCAGATATATTGAACAGTCTTCAAAATATTTTCCAAAGTGACATCGCGTCCACGTTACACACCAGATCCAATCTCGTCATAATTGTGCTAGTGTTTTGGTCGTGCTAAGTATTTACGCAATGCAACTTTTTAAGTTTATAGATGTTATAAAGT